GTGGTCGCAGATATATCGAGCATCCCTAATTGCAGATCATGTGACCGAAAAACTCAAGAAGCATCCAAAAAAAATGCTTAGAGGAAAGATTACAGCCTTAAAGAGCAAGCAGCTGACAGTGAGGAACTTGTTGATAGTCGTTATGGACGGAGACAAAAGTCCACGTGGCAGGTTTAACGTTACTGATGTTGAGTTTTTACTTTAAAACTCAAATAGTTGAACAAAGTTTTGTTGCTCCATTAGTTTATCCAGTTCATACATACAAATTTCTTCTGGTCTTTTTATGATTTGGTTCTTTTATTGTGTGTTATGTATTCTTCAGATGTGCTGATGCTGTGAGTCACACAGTTGTAAATGTTCTCTGGTTACTTATTACACGCTGTACCTAACTGGGATGCAGCAGCAGCAGGATTCATCAGGACATGAAACCCTGTCCAGCTTCTGACTGGCCTGGTTTGCTCAGTCTCTCTCTGCCGTCCTTTGTCCTCAGGGTGCCCCCATGACCAGGAAGCGAGCGGCCACGGGGGGAGAAGGTCCAGGCAGCTCCTCAGAACAAGACGGTGAAGTCGGGCCGCCTGTGGGCCGAGCGGGAGACGAGGAAGAGAACTCCACGGAGGACAGCGCCGGTCCCGCAAAGAGAACCAGGGCGTCCATCGCGTCCACCTCATTGGCGCCCAACGAGTTGGAGGAAGAAGACAACGTGTTCCGTTGCGTCCCGTGCGGCTTCACCACGGAGGACGGCGCCGAGTTCCAGCGCCACATCCCCCAGCACCGGGGCGACACCGCCTCCTTCCAGTGCCTGCAGTGCGGCGTGTGCTTCGCGTCGGCCGGCTCCCTCGGCAGGCACCGCTTCATCACCCACCGAGTGCGGGACACCCAGAGCGACGCCGACCGCGGCACCCCCCGCGCCCACGGCTCCCCGGACGGCTCCCCCGCCGCCTCCCCCCAGGCTCAGGGCGAGGACGGAGACGGGAACCTGAGCTGCAAGGTGTGCGGCCGGCGTTTCGACAAGGCCTCGGACCTCAACACCCACTTCAGGACCCACGGCATGGCCTTCCTCACCGCACACAAGACGGACAAGCCCCAGTAGAGGAGGAGGAGCCGGTCGGCCCAGACTGACCCATCAGCCACAGCGAGGAGTCGAGGATCAGCGCCGAGGAGAGAGAGAGGCTGTAGAATATGAATGTTGAAGAAACAGAGCTGCTTGCGTGCAGTTTTTTCTTTTTTTGTTTTGTTTTTTTTTAGCCACCACAGACGGTTTTACTCTCTATGGCACCTCTTGTGTGCGATTGTAACTGCATGTTTGATCATGTTAGTGGTCACTTAACTGAACTCACCTGTGATAGACTCTAGAGTAAAGCATTTACACGTCGGCCATACCGTGTCTAATACATTTCGTCCCTCCATCTCAACCACTCTGCACTGACTGTAGCCACCTGCCTGTTTCTTACCGTAACACGGACACATCCCGCCGTACTCCCCACAGCTGTAGTGCCCATATTTTGTACTTCACGCTCGTTTCGCCTCAAAGCCCGTTTTGTTCTGGCATCGGATCAGCTTTAGGAGGTTCAACTGATCTCAATCTTGAAGCATGGAAGGGGAGCGTTTGGAGGATTTGACACTGATTTTTATGTTGCTCTAATATTTATTTATACGAAACACACATTACTGCTGTCGGTGTTCGTCATGCGAGTCGAATCTGACCGGATTGCCGGCGCGATTTACCCGCAACAGAGACATGAGCTGAGAATCTGTGGAAGCATTTCATTAGGAGACGAGGTTACTGGAGGCGTGTAACCTGTGTAGTGTGAATAACGTGTGATGTTGTTAATCGTTAAGCTAGAAGAAGAAGAGAGGTCAGGCTTCCTGCCAGTAGTATACGTGTACGAGTTTTGCCATGTAAATACATATAATTACACTAAAAGAAAGCGTTCTGGTTTTAGTATCTTGCTATGATAATGTGAATACGTATAGTATTTGTACTTGTACTGTTCCCTTTTTTTCCAAAACAATTCGAAGTTTAAAAGAAAAAAAAAAAGAGAAAAATGTCCCCCCCAGAGTTAGCTTCTACAGTGTAATTACAGAGCCGAGGGAGAGCGCGGGGGTTGTGTTGTCTTAATGTGTATGAAAAACAAATGTTTATCTCTTTGAGACGGTTCTTTTTTATCGACAGAATCAGTGCTTGCTGTACTCACGTTTCTTTTGTATGTTTCAAAAGCAGCCTTCATGCTCACGTGATGGAGGTCTACGAGTGGATTGTTTTGTTTTTTTTTTCTTTTCGTTTGTATCTTTTATATGTCATATCATATTTATATAGCTCAATAGTGGAAAAAAAAACGTCATGTCATTTTCTTTTCCATGGTTGTGGTCTGCTTGCTGAAATGCCATACACTTTTGTGCTGTTTCGAAATAAATGTGAAAAAGAGAGACGAGCGACGTGGCTGCAGGTTCATCAGAGCTCAGACTCTTACATAGACACATCCATCCATCACACTGGGATACAAAA